CGCAATCTTGTTAACGCAAGTACAATCTTGCATAGCTCAGCCATTTAACGTAACTACATCAGAGCTGAAATCGTAACAGTAGCGAACTTCATTAATCGTGAAGCACGCAGAGTCGAATTTGCTGACTATATTCTATTTGAACAACTATATTCAACTAACGATGTAATATTACTCTCGTATAATCAGTGAGATCCGATTATTATTTCGGGAATGTATTTGTACAATTAGAAGCACTCTTATCGAAAAATCGTCGTTGGCTGTATCGGCTTTAACGAACAAAGGGAAGCCACGGCGCTGTCATATCCATCAAGATGATGATGAGGTTCGAAATCTTCTTAAGGAGGAACAAAGGACGGGATGTTAAAACAAAGTACTCGACGATGATGGAAATGGTCGATGACAAGCGCCTCCTGCCGCGAGGAACGTTCGCATAACTACGCCAACAACAGCGAGATAAATTTCAAGAGGGAGCGCCTATTTGTTCCCCCCAGAGGACCACCCTTCCGTGAGACGCGCGGCGGGGGTGGAACAACCCCGTGTCTCTCCTTAGCGTTCTGTACATTCGACCTTTAGCTCTGTCAGACCAGACACGTGTGGTGTACACGGCAAGGACCCAACCTCTCAACCTCTTCAGCGACGCATGGCTGATTTATACGGACTAGAAGAACCATATCTCTCTTCTACGTCACGGTAGATCCTCTACAGCGCGGCTGTACAGGGTGTGCCAAAAGAGCGCGAGTTACTCTCAAGTGTTAGCAAAATTAGCTTTACGGAATTTCTTTGCAACTTATTCCACGAACCTAAAACTGGTACATCTTTTACGAGACAGGATTCATCGAAAATAACACATAATACCTAATTAAAATGCAGCTCATTCAGCTTAAGCTTTGTACATTTGTAAATTAACTTGTGGAAATAACTGGATATAGACTCTAGAGAACTAATGAACTTATTTCTGGCTTTATTGAATTGATCAGCTAAATGTAGCTGCGAAAATCATGTTTCTCTGTTGAGTTGAAGAGTACAAATCGTTTCACGTAACTGCAGTAATTTTGATGCTCGTGCTGTAGGCGTCGTCGATTCGTTTTTGAGACGGCCTATGCGTGTGTGCGTGTACATGCGTACATGCGTGCGTGCCGAGAGCACGTATAGTGAAGCGGAACGGGTATAGTGGGATGGCGTGATATATAGTCGTGTCTGGTACCGCTGAACGTCGTTGCAATCTCCTTTAGTGGAAGGGACAGAGATTTTTATGGATAGTCACGGTTGGGGTGGTTCGCCTTGGGCGAGAATCCGTCGTATGAATTTACGTTGATCGTTGTTTTAGTACGTCCCCCGCAGGAGAGAAGTCGCCCTTGGCAGGAGAGAAGAAGAAGAAGAGAGCAGCTAGCTTTAATCTCTCGTTCCTCGCGCGAGCATGTATATCAATCGCGGTATGTAATCGGGTAATCGGAGATAGAACGACAGGATTTATAGCGCACGTCCTCCGCCGATGTACGCGCTTCTGTACTAATTTATTAGCGATAACTTAGAGCCGCTGCCATTTGCCAATCGATGAAATATTCTGCATGTGAAGGTATAGAGTTGAGCTTCGCAAAAATACTCTTTCTTTTTTTTCTTATTATCAATTAGAAAGTCACGTTATATATTAAAGATATGAAGGGAAGGAAGTTATAAATGTTCTTGAATATACGTTTTGTTGTTTTTCATTTTGCTTGTCTCATGGAAAGAGATATTCTTCATTCAGACTAATTCCAATTTTACAATTAAAACGCGAGACGAGGCAGAAAGGAACGCGCTTTGAACGCTATTTCGAATTTGTTGTCAAAACACGAGATTGACCTTTCCCTCACTTTTGCAGATCAGGAAGTCGACTTGACGGTCCTCTCTCTGGATATTAAATTCAAAATAACAGCAGCCTTTTTACTCCAAAATTTTGATTACCCTCTACTTCGTCAACGAGTATTCCTTCAATGCTTACTTTAATAAAAAAATTCCATTGAAGCATATATTTTTGTACTCTTAATCAACTTGAAAACTTCAAAGCTTGAATAATTAAAAAAACTCAGAATATAATTTTATATTTTGATATTAATTTTATATAAAATTTTAAATGTTATATTATTTTAATAAAGTTTTTTTTTATATTATTTTAATTAAATTTAATAATTTATTATAATTAAGTTTAATAATTCTGTAAAAAATTATTTTAATGCCCCGCTAAAAAAGAGCGTAATTTGTCATAAAATTTGTTATCTTTAGTCTAAATGATCAGAATCTAAAAAATTTAAATACGATTTATAAGTTACGAATCATAATAGCGTCCTACATAATCTCACCGGCATCAAGCGGAAGTGATTTGATTGTATCTTGAAATCTGACATCTCGACGTTGATACGTTTTAGATGACTATCGATTGCAGGTAGGTAATACAGAAGTGATGACAAAGTGTGCGTTCGCAATGCACACTCGGGATTTGACTCTTTTTCATGCCAATCCGTGAACTCCGTCAGCTCGCGGATAAATCAAGCGAGAGTCAACGTATGTGAAAAAAGGGACTTTTCATCTGGTCTCCATCTCCCATTTTAATTCCGTCTATAATCCGTGAGGGGAGCGAACCCTCCCTGCCCATCGGCGGTTATCTTCTGCGAATCGCGAAGGGCTTTTTTTCGACAAGGTACAGGCAATTCACAAGCGCGCTTATTGATTCTCCTGCGATATGCACGAAAACCTTTCACGCATGGGCACGTGTGTACGCCCGCCATTCTTATCGGCTCCGAACAAAAGGGCGGCTGAAAGCTGCTATCTCCCTTTTTAATTTATCGACAACAATATCATAACAGAATAGTCTCGTCAACAAGGTTACCGAAACCTAATCGAGATAAAAAAATATTTTAATTTGTCGAGAGAAAAATTAAAGTTTAAGTTTCAACTTTATGGTATATTATTTTCACTTTACAAATTATTTTTTTCGTCAACTTCTGTTACTTCATTAAAACGTATAAATCTGCCGTATTTATTTTATAAAAAGTTATTAGTTCATTTTACGAATCTCTCACGCAAATATTTGGTTACCAACATTCTGTTCGTTGTGATTGTCGAGAATCGAGCAATGCTCGTTTTATGTTTCGATCAAAATTGTAGTTATCCCGTTGCTAAAATGAATCCTGACGAGCACGCGATGCATCAACCAGCATTATAACTGTACCGCCGCGCTACCAACGAATGAATTCACCCCGTACGGTAAATAATTAACGCGTCAGGGGTGAATACGTGACGTGGCTACATCACAAATCTGATAATGATGTGAGCAGCAACAAGACGGAATGTTGAAAAAAAAAACGCGTTGCGTTCATCTGCAATGCACTTTTTCCCCCTCGAGTTTCGCGAATTATTCAACACCGCTCTTTGCCGTCGTGCGTGATTAAAATTGTACGCACTTGGTGCGTCCAATTTTCATCGTGGGTCTTTTTCGTTCGATCGCAATTATACTTAATCGGCCTACCGCGCCAGACTACAGGAAATAAGCGGTTTAACCGAAGAAAGATAGAAGGAGCTTACTGAGAAAAATCTTGTGGAGCTTCAGCTGCGTTTGACATGTATTTTTCCTTTATCTTACTTTATCGTCGGAATCTACCTAAAATTACTTGATGTGTATAATCGTAAATAATATCTATAAAAAGCAAGATATAGATGTTTTTACTTTTTTAATTTAATTTCGTAATATAAAAATTTTTCACGATAACTAGTGAGATTTCTTTATATTTCTTTAACTACATTCTATATATTTATTAATTAATTTTTAATCTGAAAATGCGAAATAATATTTTATTTTGAGTAAAAAATGCAAGCAAGAGCTAAGAGAGTTGACTTTGTATTAAAATTTTCAGGCCGTAATTTCGCGTCGGCGTTCTTTAGAATCGACAGTGCTATTACATTCCTGCGATGAATGTAATGTCTTATGCGCGGTATCTGCGATATTTGGACATCCTGAATATCTCCACGAGCGAATGTCGGCTATCCGAAAAGAAAGGCAATTTTCTTTCGCGAGTAGGGTCCGGATAAAATTCTAGGATCGCTACGAGGCGTGTCGTATCAATTGTCAATAATATTAGAGACCGCAATTTCACTCAGGAAGTTCCATCGAGCGTTGTTCGGTCCGATATCTGTCCGGTTTCCCTTCTGTTTCTTTCGTGATGACGACCTTCCCTTACTTCAAAGGGGGAAACGGAGTCAACCGAAGAAAGAAAAAGCAAGGAGACCCAGCGGTGTGTACGGATAGAACACCATCGATTATTTTCACGCGAAGGAGCACAAGGCGGAAAGAGCTAGAAGGGAAGTTCTCTTTGTTCGGATCTCCTTTCTCGAATGCCAGTGGGTCACTTGCATTCGATGAAGACGCCGCTACGATTCTCCCTGGGGAGCGTGTAGAGAGGAAAAGAAGGAAGTTTCGTGAGACTAGGAAGTTTCGAAGAAAAGTCGTATTATCGATATTACTCTGATAGCGTTCGTCTGGACGCCACATGTAAACGCACGGACGAACGTATCGGAAATAATCGTACGTCGTCAAATCAGCGAATTTTCGGCATTGGGGTGAATTCAGTTGCGGTTCCCCATCAGCTGCCTACCGCTATCGAGCATCGTGGTCTTGTAATTGAGCGCCGCGATTAGAAATGGAGGTCAGAACTCGGTTAGTATAGCAAAACACAGATGATCATCAGATCGATAACAACCGACATGAAGAAAAGAAAGCTATTATCATCGTAAGACTTCTGGAAACGAAGTCTTGGGAGACGCCATTGATTATTTTCACGCTAGAAGGAGCACCCCGACGAGAAACTCTTTGTTCGGCACGTCTTTCCTGGAATGGCAGTGGGTCACTTGCATGGAGAACGACACGGAGCTGAGAATATCCCTCGTCGGGGAAACTTTCAGCGAGAAGTTGTTATCGCACCGGGCCGCCACACCCTTCCACGTTGAAGAGGATGCGCGGGGAAATCCTTCGCGAATCCTTTGTTCCAGCTATAATACATGGACAGTCCTAAGTAAGCCCTTTGTCCCTGAGCCCCGACTTTCTATTTTCCATTTAACTTTTCTGAGCCCATGGATTGGCCTTTATCACTCGGAACAGGAATTTACGACTAATTTCGCACGACAGGATTAATTTTAATATTGTATTGTTTGTGACTTTGTAAGCATTTAATAAAACAAAATTAACATCTGGATTGTAAAATATATTCAAACTCTGTTTTTCTATTTTATTTTTTTATTATAAATTTTATCTTATTAATCATAATTATAACCTAAAATACTTACATTGTTGTCGCTAAATAAAAAATACTAAACATTTGAAGAAATACTATTATCGAAAAATATATTAATATGCTGATACTGTCTAAATATGGTTAATGAAGAATTAGAAGATTTGTTGAGGGAAATAGTAATAGGGATAGTTTGGGAAATGTAAAAATAGAGATAAAAACGTTTCTCCTTGTTCCTTTCTACATTATCGCGCTGCTCGTAAATACGTTTTGTAGACCGTCTAACTGTTCGAACTCTGCTCGATGCTTTTAAAGAAAGTAAGAGGGTTCGTCTCGCAGGCTCGTATTCGCGTTAACTGAGAATGCAACGAGCGCACCCACTCTTCAACGAATTTACGATGTTGACGGGTTCCGTGAGTCAATTATCTGCACTAGCCGGATGAAGTTTTCTTCGACAGCAAGAACTTTGCGGCTCTCTGTTAAATATTTATATGTATATAAACGACTAACGCGAGAAAAGTTTTATTGAAAAAATAAATATCTTAATAGAAAACAATTTTAATGATCGTTAATGGCGTTAATTATCAAATGATTGCAGCCAGATTGAATCTTTTGACTCTCCATATATTTTGGCATATATATATGAAGGTCGTATATATATGCCAAAGAAGAACATAGAAATAAGTATTTTTTCAGTCAAATTCAGTTTTATTTTTCAACATAGTCTCTTTTTAAGTCGATACACTTTTCCCAGCAATGCTTCCATCTCTTTAACCCATTCAAATAATAGTTGGCGTCTTGCTGTGCAAAATAGGTTTCTATTTTGATTTTTTGAATGTAATCCACTGTTTTGACTGTTCCTTCGTCTCAGGAGTGAAGTAGTGGATTTAAGTTTCATCAACAGTTATTAATCGATGCAAAAAGTTCGATTCGTTTCGTTTAAACCGCTCCAATAGAGCTTTGGAAATGTATATTCGGTTTTTTCCATTTTTACAAAATCACTGACATCGACTGGCACAAATGACTGTCAAACAACTGAGCGTCTACAATGGCTACAATTTTCACAGGTATCTTTCAAAGCATGTACAATTGTAGTATTAGAATGATTTTGACGAGTAATGCCATCTTCATGTTGAGGCTCAAAACTTCAAATGACCCTCGTATGAATTAACTTCTGATCGTAAATTTTAATACAATACTTTGGTTTTATAAATATTAATATGATATAAATTTTAATATGACATTTTCTTTTTCGTATGAATCCTTCGTAGCGTCGATATATAACAAATTTTTTTTAGAAAATAGTATAAAATTTGAACGAGTATAAAATTTTTTCCATTAGAGTTAGATAAGCCTATAGTATGCTATAAAATAAGATGGAAATTGTAGAATTGCACACAAAGAATACCTCTCATCACATATCTCCTCGCGTCTTTTGTAAGTAATTACTTCTCTTTCTTCTTCAGGATGGTAGCGGAAGTAGGCAAAGTTCGATCGTAACGAATTTTACGTTCGCCTATATATCGCTTTTTATCGTTCTGCGTCCTATGACTGAGTCCGCGTTGATGCTAAGGCTCTAAATAAGGCCGTCCTTAGGAACCCTAAAAAATCCCCAACGGTACCTTTTTTCTGCATCCCTTATGCCTTCTCCCTTTTTCCTTGTTTTACTCCCTCTGCCTCAAAGAAAATCGTCTCCTTGGCACTATGTACATAAAATGAAGTCAAGCGGTTTTAGCACCGAATATCGTTCTCCTTCTTTCCTTTCCTTTACCTCCAGAGCGATAAAATTGAATTCACAATCTTCTACATCGACAGAAATTATTTAAGACTTTTAATTTGAACTGCAAGGTCAAAAGAATGAAATATCTTCCGTTAGATTACATCGTTAAGTGATATAACTTCTGACGATTCTATTTAAACACTTTTAAATTTTAATTTACGAACTGTAAAATGTAAGGTTATATAAAATGCTGAAATTTCAAGTTTTTCTTAGTTTATTTTCATCGAGTAATCCTCCTTCAAGAATCTTATTATATCGCAATCGTTGAAGGGACCAAGTAATAAGGGGAAATATACGGTTTCGCTGCCTTGCTAACATTCTTTATTATTTTGCACTGTCGAGAATGCGGCGACGCTAAGGTAGATTTTTCCATTTATTTGTATCGTCCCGCATTATTGAATTCCGATAATCCGCGACGCCGCCGTTGTAAGTCCTTTTACAGTACACCACGATTTACGATCCACCACCCCTGTCACTTCCCAGCGCCTTTTCCTCTCTTCGATTTTTAGGCAGGCTAGTCGAAATTATCGAAGTTCATTCACCTTTTGCCACTATTGTTAGACTTGTAGAATTAAATATTTTTAGAATTAAATTTTTTTCTAAAATGCTGAAAACGTTTTTTTTTAAACATATAGACTACGGACAGAGAGAGAGAGAGAGATTCGTGCTAATGAATTTTATTAAATAAGAAGTTAAAATGTATTATATTATAGAATACGAGACAAATATAAATACAATGCGCGATTATGTCAACAGTGATAATATTATAATTTAATAAAATACCTTGCATATATAGTCGAACTTCCATAAGCAAAATATTCCAAACACATTATCATTTGGAGAGCAGTTCTGATGTTTTGCGCAAAGTATTTCGTGCTCTTCCTAGCACTCGACAGGCTTACGAGTCGCAATAAAATTGCAGGAAGTTTATTGTGTCGTATCAGCGTTGCGCAATCCTGAGTCCTCTAATCGAAGTTGTAAAAACTTCGAGTGTTTCTTTTCGATCATGGACCCGGATCGTACGTCACGCAACAACACAAGCGACTCGTACAGTCGTGACATACCAATTCAATTTATTTCTTCGACATTGGCGTTGAGTCTTCACAGCGAGATAGATGGACGGATAAATGGATGTACGTGGCTCGTACGAGTCTCTCGAACATCCGAGGATGCGTCAAGGACTCCCATTTTCTCTCTCTCTCTCTCTCTCTCTCTCTCTCTCTCTCTCTCTCTCTCTCTCTCTCTACTCGAATCCACGAATATATTGGTCGAAGGAGCCCCGATATTTTTCTCTTTTCTCCCTCGTATCTCTTTTCTCTTTCATC